GGCCTGCCTTAAGGGCAGGTCTGGTGCTGAGGATGGAAGTGCACCCCCCTGCCCTTGACTGAGTTTTGCCCAAGCAGGTGCTTTATACAACTGAGCTATCTCTCCAGCCCCTGTATTTTGTTCTTTGTGGTTCTGACTTCAGTCCATGTAGAATAGGAGCAAACTGAAGGATAACAACTGAGAGCAACAAGAAATCTCATTGGAGCATGAAATAAAGTGAGACTGAAAATACCAGCCTTTCGCACCCTGCAGAGACCTGCAAATCTCATCAGGTATTTGTGGGATGATGGGGAAAGTGGAGCTAAGACAGGGTGCAGATGTGATCTTTGTAGGAGAAAATAACATAAATAGGTTTCTCTTGATAAGTAGAAAACTTTTTAAAATTTACTTTTGCCAATGACCTTTGAGGGGTATTATATATAACTTAAAAAGAAACAAATTTCTCTTTATAAGTGAAAAAACTTTTCATTCAAAGCATTGCAGGGCATATTTAGTACTAAATCAAATTGCAATTTTCTTTAGGCATTATATAATTATAAAATATTGTCAAGAAGAAAAAAATTTAAAGAAAATTCTTAAATTGTCTTAGCTGGTTTATCTGAATTGGGATGTGGGTCTTTGTTCTTGAAGTTATAAAACATGCAATTCCAGTGGCTAGGAGTTAGATTTGTTCTTACATGCAGAGCTTGCTCTCTGTTTTAGACATTTTTGTCTAATTTTACAAATAAAGAGATTTCTGGCCTGTGTGTGTGTGTGTGTGTGTGTGTGTGTGTAACTGGGGATGGAACACAGGGCCTTCACTCTGATCTACACCAGCCCTTTGTTAATTTTTATTTTGAGACAAGGTCTCACTGCACTGCTGAGCTGCCAGGGCTGGGCTTACACTATTCTATGACAGACAAACAATTGTAACAAATTTGTGTTTCTTCAAGCTTTCCTTCCACTTACACATTTGTTATTATTCTTTTTGAATATTTAAAGTATTTGTGTTTTGTCATTAGCAATAATTTTTTTCTTACATTTATTTAGTGTGTGTGTGTGTGTGTGTGTGTGTGGCCAGCTCAGCCCACCAGGGGCGGGGCTGGCTGGCATGTGGTGCTGGGGGATTGAACCGCGGTCCCTGTGCTTTGCTAAGCTTGTTCTAAGTAGGTGCTTTAGACCACTGAGCCATCTCTCCAGCCCCAGCAATAATTTTTTGAAACATTTAGTCTTACTTAAATACTTAAATGGATTATCATCAATAATAGTTTCTTTTTTAGGAAACATCATTAGAGTGTTGTTTGTTTTAGAGGAATGTAAAAGAGATCAAGTGTTAAAAGAGAATTTGTGTCTTTTTTTGGTTAGTGTTTTTGTTTTCGGTTAGTCTATAAATCTATAGATAAGATAAACTAAAACCTAAATTGCTTACTTTAGTTCAGAATGTTTGTCTCTATATGCTATTCACTGCATATATTGTGGAATTTGTTATCTGACAATGAAGAAATCAGTAGGGTTCGTTTTTATTATGAGTGCAGAAAAAAATGAAAAAGAAACCAAAATCAAAAATTTCAAACCAAATTCTGACTCATTATCAAAACTTTTTGGAGACAGTATTTTTCCCAAATGTTGGAACATAAAGCCTGTAACACTGAAAAACTTGTCTGTGGTTCACATGAGACTTAAAACAGAAGTGACTTTATTGTAAGCTACGAGGCCTATAGTAACCACAAGGGACCACATCGTGAGAAACCAATACCTTGTCTTTCACATATGTTGTGTTTGAATTTGTGAAATTAATGCTATTATGTGCAGCGTTTGTATTAGCGGTGGAAATATCTGTGATAACATCAAACTAAACAGGAAATGTGGCTACTTCAGTGTAAAATACACACTTTAGAGAGGCAGGTGGAGGAGATGGGAAAGGGGCTGCTTAGAGCAGTGGGGGTGGGATGCAAGCTGAATGTGGGCCCTCATAAGCACAGAAGACGGAAACTAAGGACTAAAAGAAATAAGAACTTGAACAAAAAATTGACACAGCAAATGATAATCTCAGTGGAAGCAATCTAGTCTGAGGAGCTGGAAGGAGAAGGAGGAGGAGAAGGAGGAGGAGAAGAAATAGGAGAAGAGAGAAGATGAAGAATAGAAGGGGAAAAAGAAAAGGGCACAGAACCAAAGAGGCTTGTGGAACATCAAGAGAGTTATTATGCACAATGACAGTCTTTTTTTTTTTTTTTTTTGAAAACATTTTATTAAAATATTTTTTGTTGAAATGAGTTCCCAGTTCAGCAAAAAAGTGCAGGAGTCTAGAGGGGTACCATGGGGGTCCCTGGGAGGCACTTCCATGTGTGGCTGGTGGGAGTCAGTGGTGCAGCCCCTCCAGAGGGGACTCTAGCAATGTCCATAAAACTCTGCGATACAATGACAGTCTTGAGGGAAGAAAGAGGCAGGCTGTAAACAGGCGAGTCACTATGAGTCCGATCTAGTAGAGAGACCCTGAACACCCTGTGAGCTCTTCCCTAAAATTAAAAAAAAAAAAAATAAAGAGGCAGAAAAAATCTTTCAAAGAATAATATTTGAAAAATTTCCAAATTTATTTATTTATTTAATTTTTAAAAAATGTATTTAGTATAGCATCTCACTACACAGACTGGACTCGGAGTGATTGTTCTGTTTTCAGCCTCCCAAGTGTTGGGATTACAGGCAAGCACCACCAAGCCCAGTCTCAGTCACTGGCTCAGTGCACCCTGGGGACAGAGCTAACAGGGCACATGAGGGAGCAAACTCCTGGACCCTGAATCTGCTTAAGCAGGCGCTTTAGTCCACTGAGCTATCTGGTCAGCCCCATATTTCCCAATTTAATGAAAGATATGATACCACATGTTCAAGTGAACTTCAAGTAGGATAAAATCAAAGGGAGTCAAATTAATACACATGATAATGAAATTATCATAAGAGAAAGGAAGAAGCTCAAAAATGAGAAAAGAGAAGAGACACATTGTATTCAAGGGCCCTGTGGAATGATGAACCATCAATTTTTCAACAGAAATCATGAAGAAATGAATTTTTTTTTCTTTTTTTCTTTTTTTTGCAGAACCGGGGATTGAACTCAGGTCCTTGTACTTGCCAGGGAAGTGCCCATTCCACTGAGCCATCTCCCTGGAAGGCATGAATTCTAATTGTATTTAGAATGTTGAATTTAAAAATAAAACCCTGCAAACCAATGATTTCAGGCAAAACTACCCTTCAAAATGAAGGTGAAGGGCTGAGGAGATAGCTCAGTGGACTGAGCACCTCTTTGGCAAGCGCAGGGACCAGGGTTCAATCCCTGGTCCCGTATGCCATGCCAGCCCTATCCCTGGAGTGTGCTAAGCTGGTGACCAAAATAATGAATTCTGGTAAACAAAGAAACAAACAAACAAAACACATGGGCTTTTATATGTGATTTTCTTTGGTTTGTGATTTTTCCCTATATGATTTAAAAGACAAGTGCAGGACATGATAGCTATAAATCTATATTAAATAGACACACATGTGTAAATGTGTATTTGTGACCATTTTAACAAAAGTAGAAAGATGAAACCAAATAGGAACTAACTTTTTTTTTTTACTATTAAAGCTAAAGTGATATTAATTTAATGTAGATGGTTAAAAAATTTAAATTGTAATATGGAGCATAATCACAAAAATAAAAACATTAAAAAGGGGCAGAAGAAAGGAACCAAAACATTACAGTAGAAAAATAAAATAAGAAAGAAAGCATTAATGGAAATTGAGAAAGAAGGCATGAGACATAGACAAAACAAAACAAGAAACAACAGAAGTTAGTCCTTCCTTATCTGTACTTATGTTATAGACAAGAGATTTAGCAAACATGACAAATTATATGTTTTTTAATAGGAGATTCACTTTACATCAAGACGCAAATAGAACATAAAAAGGCAGAAAAATATGTGGATGATAAACAAAAGAAAGTTAAAGTGGGTATATTCAATAACAGATGAAATAAATTTTGACTCAAAAATTTATTAATTCAGGATGCTGAGGCCGGAGAATCACAAGTTTTAGCTCAGCCTGGGAAACCTGAGACCTAGACTCTATTTCAAAATACAAAATAAAAAAGTTTAAGGAAGTACTTCAGTTTGAACCCTGGAACTACAAAAATTTTCATGAAAAGTCACAAAGGAGCTGGGTGTGGTGGTACATGCCTGTAATAGAATCTTTATTTACATTAGCCTCAAATTTGAATAATCCAGTTTCAGAGAGAAATGGTGCATACGTGGTATATTTACTTAAAAAAACCCCTTATCACATGGCATTAACAATGCTCTATCTAAGGGCCAGCCAATAGCTCAGTGGATTAAAGCACCTTCAAGCAGGCACAGGGGCCAGGGGTTCAATCCACGGGCCTGCTGTGCTGGCCTCACCTCGGGGTGTGCAGAGATGGCAATTGAGATTGGGTGTGGTGGCGTGCATCTGTAATCTCAGCACTTGGGAGCCTATAAACAGGCCGATCACTATGAGTCTGATGTAGTAGTGAGACCCTGAACACCTGGTAGACCCTTCCCTAAAAATACAAAAAAAAAAAAAAAAAAAAAAATGCACTATCTAAAGAATTTCATTTATGCGAGGCTCAAAAACTGGCAAAATAAAAGAATGGTGATAAAAATTGGACTAGTGTTCACTTTTGGCAAAGAAATTATGAGGAGAGAAAATGAAGAAAATTTTAAGTAAAATGTTATTGCCTTGTTTTAGGGACTGTATGTATGAATATATTATATGTATTCAGGGGTGTGGGAGAACAAATAAGATAAACCTTTTTTCCCCTTTACTTTATTGCTAACATTTCCTGCTTGTGGCTAATTAACCAAAATGTACAAGATGGAGATAAAGATAAGCAAAATGACATATGGTCTTGTTGGAATGACCTAGTGGGAGAGATTCACTCAGTTCATTGATTTACAGTGACTTGTATAAGCAGAAAACCACTCTGAATGTATACTTTGGTGAGAACTTTCGCTGTGATGTTGCTCATTCCCATCATCATCTTTATGCCAGGTAAGTCTGACATGCTGACATTTTTAGAAGAAAATGCACCTATCTTTCAACAGAGACAAAGGTACTCCTGATTCACTCATAAGACACTTTGGGTTTGTCCTAGAGGGAGTATAATTTTTGTATGTTGATTTTTTAATTGTAACTTTACTTAATTAGTTTATCTTTATTATTAAAG